CTGTGAGCTGTGTGGGCTGTACTTTGAGAACAGGAAAGCCCTGGCCAGCCACGCCCGCGCTCACCTGCGCCAGTTCGGGCTCAATCCTACATTCACAATTCCCATTTTTTCACCGTTTTTCCCCATTTTTTCACCGTTTTTCCCCATTTTTTCACCATTTTTCCATGTTTTCTCCCCATTTTTGCAGCTGAAGCCTGCTGTGAGCTCTGTGGGTTGTACTTTGAGAACAGGAAAGCCCTGGCCAGCCACGCCCGCGCTCACCTGCGCCAGTTCGGGGTCACCGAGTGGTGCGTGAACGGTTCCCCCATCGAGACCCTGCGCGAGTGGATCCGGCACCGACCCCACAAAGCCGGCGCCTACCGCAGCTACATCCAGGGGGGACGGCCCTTTTCCAAGAAATTCCGGAATTCCTCCCATCCCCGGGGGGCTCTGGGGGCGCAGACCCCCCTGAACCCCTTCCTGGGCAAAGGAATCGCGGCCGACGGAGCCGTCGGAGACGGGAAAGGGACGGACGGAGGCGGCGGCGAGAGGGGAGTGGGGACGGCGCTGCTGGTCAAAGTGGAGGAGCAGAGGAACATCAGCAGTGAGTGATGGGAAATGGGATAAAAATATGAAAAATGGGAAAAAATGGGGAAAAATGGGGAAAAAACGGGATAAAACAGCGGAAAAATGGGATAAAATGGGGTTTGGGATTGGGGAATCCCTGTGGGAATGAGACACAGGGGAGTGGGGACGGCGCTGCTGGTCAAAGTGGAGGAGCAGAGGAACATCAGCAGTGAGTGATGGGAAAATGGGGATAAAAATGGGAAAAATGGGGAAAAATGGGGAAAAAATGGGGAAAAAATGGGGTATGGGGTCAGGAATGGGGTCAGGAATGGGGAAATCCCTGTGGGAATGGGACACGGGAGTGGGGACGGCGCTGCTGGTCAAAGTGGAGGAGCAGAGGAACATCAGCAGTGAGTGAGGGGGGAAAAATGGGGAAAAATGTGAAAAAATGGGAAAAAACGGGGGAAAAATGGGATAAAACAGCGGAAAAATGGGATAAAATGGGATAAAATGGGATAAAATGGGGTATGGGGTCAGGAATGGGGAAATCCCTGTGGGAATGGGACACAGGGGAGTGGGGACGGCGCTGCTGGTCAAAGTGGAGGAGCAGAGGAACATCAGCAGTGAGTGATGGGAAATATGGGGAAAAATGGGGAAAAAATGGGAAAAACGGGGATAAAATGGGATTTGGGGAAAGGAATTGGGTCAGGAATGGGGAAATCCCTGTGGGAATGGGACACGGGGGA